GGAAAAGTTTTAAAGACCAAGTTACAGATCTTAAAGTGTCAAATAATTGTAAGCAACACTGAACCCCTTTGGTTTCATTGACTGTGTGTAAGCCAGGATAGGAAGGTTATCCTACAGCAACAAACAGCCTCCAAAATCTTAGCACTATTAAGCAACAAATGTTTACTTCTGGCTCACACTATTTGTCCATCAGGAATCACCACAGGACTATGTTCCTGGACTCAGATTGGTGAAGCAGCTATCTAGAACATTGCCTGTACCCATGGCAAAGAAAAAGAACATTCTAGAGGCTCTGTCACCAACAAACATGACACATGTCACTTCTGCTCACAGCTCATTGGCCAGAACCAGTCACATGATCCACCCAACAGCAAAGGAGTCAGGAAGTACAATTTGACCATATGCCAGAAAGGTGGAAAGCCAGGAATATTTTGCAGATATCACCAATAACTACCACATTGTCCGTGTATGTGTGGGGGGAGTGGGGGTATATCTTATATTTGCATGCATCTGTCTTTACAATCAACTAAGATATTTTCTGTCTCTTCCATCAACAGGAAAGCTGACCCAGTTCCATACATGACCACTCCTGAGAGATTGTACTCCAATGTCATGCAGACTCTGAAATACCTCAACACCCTCCTGCCCAATGGCAGCCATGTTGTTTTTTATGGCTTGCCAGATGGAACCTTTCTCTGGGATAATTTGCACAACAGATATCATCCTCTCGGTATCAGTTTGAAGATATTTTATTCTTTAACAATGTCAATGTGTATATAGCTCAATGTATTTACAGTTCAAACCATGTAGAAATATGCCTAAAATGCTATCACAGAACATGGGTGGGAGACGGTGAAGGGAAGTGTCAGGTTAGTATCTGATGGTTGTTATTCAGAGGATGGCAGAATCAGATCCAAAGCCAGAAAGGGCAGAAGTATTTAATTAAGAATTAAGAAAAATTGAAAGATAAGAGTTTAAATCAGGAAACTCCTTTAGCAGAAGGTGAATTGCAGAATGAGCTAAGGAAGCCCAAACAGGAAACAGGAAGCGTCAAAGGGAGGAGTTTCTCTCAACCTCAGTGGTGAGTAGCCTCCTGTTAGCTGGTAAGAATTCTCTAGAACACAGTCCTCCAGCCTGCTCGCTTTCTGCTTCTATACTCTCTTGGGGTCCCTTGCTCTAAAAGGCTTTAAGGTTCCCCAGAAACTTATAATGGCAGCTCTAACATCCCAGATACCGTACAAACGATGTCAAAGTGGCAGTAATTCGCCTTCGGAAGGACTGCGTGCTGATCCTTAAAACTACCCTGTGAGATAGATGGTTTCATTAACTACGGTAATTCCATTTCATAGATGAAAAAGCTAAGGCTCAGAAAGGTTAGGTAGCTTGCCAAATGTTGCATCACTCACTGTATATTCAAGCGGGGTGTAGCAGGGCTCTGCTTCCTGTATTTCAGGGGAGATTGTATTTATTAAGCACCTACTATGTGCCAGGCACTGTTGTAGGCAAAGGGAAACCAGCAGTGAACACAATAGTCCTAAATTCCCGCGTTTGTATTCCAATGGGAGAGAGACTCAAAAATATGTCAGAAGGTGATAAATGTCACAGGAGGAAAATTAGACAGAGAAAAGGAACAGGGAGTGCCGGCCTCAGGCCTCGCTGATTAGCCTCTACCAGGAGAGGCCTGAGTACCCTTCCCTCAGCCCCATATTGACGGCACCTGCGCCAGTCAGTCATGAAGAAGAGGCTGCCCCATCCCTGGAATTTCCCTACCACCTCCTGAGATCAACCCAAGCTAAAATGTGCTGGGGAGTCCGAGCACCTTCTTAGGAGTCAGGTGAGCAATTCAAAGGGGAAGACCTGAAACTCATTCCTTAGTGCCCTTCAAGGCTGTGAGCAGAGAGCCAAATGTCACACTCAAGGCCATCAGGAGCTTTCCCTTGCACAAATAACCTGGTGAGTATCTTTTCACATTTCGCTTGTCCTCCTCCTGCAGTCCTTGCGTAAGACAACCCCCAGCTTCTCCTCAGAAAATCCACCCCTCCCCAAATGACAAAAGAGTAGGAGCCCTTCAGCCAGCTCTCAGAGGGCTCTGGTCTCTTCCCTGGGGGAATGATGGTAGATACCCAGGTTCCAGGCTTCTCATCAATGAGGCTGAAGCCATTTTCCCCTTGAGTTACTAAAGTGTATCACAAATATTATTATCCAAGCAAAACACTGTCCAGCCTGGCCTGAGGAAAGCATATTCTTCCTGTTCATGCAGCTTTGACTGTGCCCCTGAGAAACAATATTCATAACATAATCACACACAAGAGAGCTTCGCTCCATTCTGAGCTGCCTTGCAAGTATAAAAGACAACTTGGGCTAAGAATGTCTCTTTGAGCCATTGGATACATCTGTCCCAACAGATTCTTCCAGATTGCTAAATTTCTCCCATGCTGAGAAATGCTTGGGAGAAGTTGGGGGCAGGGGCAGTGTGCTCCCAATTTACTTCATGACACCAACAGGGGCTTGAGTTTGAGTTTTCTGATTTCAAATCCCATTCTCTTTTCATGAACTCTGGTTAGACTGCCTGCATAAATTCTTTCCGAGATGCCATGCAATTCACTTGATTTGACCATGCTATATAATAATGACTCCATGTGATTTGGAAAGGAGTGAGGGAAGGAAAAAAGGCATTTTGGGGACTCATCATCAACTTTTCTGGATTCTGTAGGTCAGTGGTTCTCAGCTGAGGGCAACCCACACCCTTGTGTCCTGTTATCACACCTGGGGATGGGGATGGTGCAACTAGCATCTAGTGGGTAGAGGTCAGAGATGTCGCTAAACATTCTACGGTGTGCAGGACAGCCCCACAATCAAGAATGTCAGTAATGCCGAGATTGAGAAACTCTGCTCTAGGCTTTGCCTTGTCCTCCTCAAGTGGCCTCTTCCTGGCCATGAATCACATCCTAGCATTTAACAGCACAAAAGAGGAAGAAGCCAAAGGTGGAACAAGTTTTTTCGTTATAAACAACCCTAGTTTTGGGGAAAAAAATCCAATCAGGGAGAAAGTTGAAACCATCTAAAATTCACTTAATGTTTTTAAAGTAATTATTCACATCCCAAATTATCCCTGCTGCCTGGTTGCCATGGGAAATAAATTACAAATTTCTCAACGAAGCATCAGGGTCCTTCCTAGAAAGACTGAGGAAGTAGGTGGGATTTTTCCAGCTTCGCCGTTCCTCTGTTGGCAGGGCTCACAGCTCACATGGGAGGGGAGCCTCACAGAGAGGGCCACTGCCTCATATTGTCTCTCTTCTACTGCTCCCACTCCAGACCCCATCCTTGCACCTGCATTCCCAGCAGTCATGAACTAGCAGTGAAACAAGGACAATGCTGGACCAGCCTCCAGGGTCCAGTTGCTCTGTCTAGATTAGAGTAGATCTCATCTTAGTCAACAGCCAAACACCCAAGTCTGATTCCCAGGGCTCTGGGCTGAGAGTTATGCAAGCAAAGAAAACAGCGGGGGAGTGTGGGGAGTTCCATTTATTTCCGTATTTGAGCCTAGACACATGGTGATGATAATCTCTAGACTGTGGCCACCTCTTATGGACTAGGAAAGAGTTCCTGGAGCAGAGGCGTTGGGGGGAAGTTCCTGGTCAGTGATACATTCTCTGCTGCCTCCTTTGCCCCTCGGCAGGACAGGCAGGAAGCCAGCCTGACCATTCAGCAAAGGGAAGGTTCAATGCCACAGCGTGAAACCAGCAGGTGATGCAGGCCCAGAACTGAGCACAGGTGCCCGTCTCATTCCTGCCAGGGAGGAAGGAGTGATGAACCCCCCCCACCCCCATCTCTGCTCTTCAGCTGTGTTTGTGAGTCACTACCCAGTCAATGACTGGCTGCCAAGGGCTGGGACACCCCACAATCTCTGCTAGTCGTTAAAATTCCTGGGGAGAGTTTATTGTCTTTGTGAGGAATCCCCAGAGAGCAAGCCTCACGCATTAGGATACTACTTACATAGATCTTTTGAGAAAAGTCAAGCTCGGCCAGTCATGAGTCCTCTCGGCCGTAGTCTGTGAGGAAGGCAGTCATTCCAGGAGTACGTCTGAAATGTCCGTTCTCTGCTTGTGGGTAAAGATGATATAAGAGGGAGTCCCTGTCCTCACAGGAAGGAGAAAAAGACAGCTCCACAGAAGAAAATAGCACACAGAGCCTGACAAGTGGCAATGACGATGACGCAAGCCGTAGGCATTCTGGGAGCTGTCCAAAGGGTAGACTGTGGTTAGAGAGTCAGAGATTGCTGACTACAAGTGAGTCTGCAAGTAGGTCTTCCCTGGAGGATCCCCGACACAAACAACAGCAACAACAGCAGCAGCCACAATTTACTTTTGCCCCAATTACTCTTAAACTTGAAAGCAATGTCTTTTTAAAATACCTCCTAGTTTATATTTTATTACTGGCTTTCTCCCCATCTGAAGTAGTGTGGTTTTAATGCATTCAGATGGTATTTCATGGAGGTGTGACTGATTTCTGTTGGTACTAAGCTTTCACGGTACCTAAGATTTCAATCGTGTTCTCAGCATTGACTAAAGACCAAAGACCCCGCCCTAAAGCACTTGTAGATTACTGAGACACACACTGCCACTCCAGCCACCTGGGGAAGAATATGACCTTTAATCTGCAGAGGGAGCTCATGGCATCCACTGGGTCAGCCCACTGACTCCCAACCACACGCACGTGCACACACACATGTACACACACACACATGAACACACGTGCATGCACACACATACACAGAGATTGCTCCTCGGCCCATGACAATTCCTGTCCACTATGGGACAGTCCTCCTGTCCTACCCCTGGGCATTCTTGGTCAGCTTTCTTAACCAGATTGACTTTCTGACCAGGTAGTCACAGACACACCTCTTTGCATGTACCCCATACAGGTGGGATCAGTCTTTATGCCAGGGCTCCTCAATGTGAAAAAATTATGTCAAAACAACAGGGATAAAAGGTAATGCCTAAAAAAGAAAGAGTGAGTGACCAACTGATAGTGCCAACAAGGGGAGAACGCAAAGAACCACTTTCCCTTCCCGTAAGCCCATCACAGGCACTCCTAACAATCTCGCACGTGAGCAGGGTTGCCCTCCCTCTAACAGGCAGAAATACCAGGGAGAAGGGAGACCACCTCATTACACCTGTCGCAGTTACCATCTAACCACACCTAATGTGCCCTCATCCTGCTCAGCAGACCTAGCGCCTCACGGAGCCAGTGTCAGAATGACAGAGAGGTGGAAGGAACAGGGGAAGGGATCGGAGAAGGTCTGGAAGGAGGATGCGCCTCATGGTCTCCTTCTGAGGTGCGCTGGACCTTGAGGGAGGCCAGCAGGAAGAGGGGGTGAGGCAGGAGGGACAAAGGCTGAGATGGCTTCACCCCTGAGGAGCAGCCAGCTGTTAAGCTCCCAGTATCCCACCCCCTCCAGACAGCACAGCAATCCAGGCTGGAAGGTGGGAGGGGAGGGTACAAGAGTGTTACTCGTGGTCAGGCACGAGGTCAGGCTCCTTTCAGGTTGAAGAGACTGCAGCCACTGAATAGGGTAAAGAGAGAAAGGCCACCCCTCAGGGTGAGGGGACACCTCGGGCCCAGCAGGGTGGCAGGGCCCTAGCACGCTACCTCAGTTCCATTATGAGGCCCCAGTCCCAGCAAAGAAGTAAGGTGGCCACCAGGCACCAAGCGAAAGGCCAGACCTCACAGAGGGTGGTTAGAGGGAAGGCTGCGACTTGGTGGCTCAGTGGCTGTCCCTCCACGAGAAGGAGCCAAGTCATCCGGGCACACGGGGGAGCCAGGCTGGGGAGTAGAGGTTGATGGTGTCAGTGACTGCAGTGGGCTGAGATGAGCAGAAACACATTCAGGAAGGGGGTAAATTATAAAAAACACACACACAAAAGAGGGACCGAAGCCTCAGTGGGTAGAAGCAAGAACTTGGGAAAGATGGTGCCCAGGGCTCCGTGTTGGGCCCATAATGCGAAAGCAAGGACAGAGCCAGGGACTCGGGATTCAGCTACAGAGCAAGGATGCAGAGACCTGGGCAGAAGACAGCCTAGCGGGTCACTGCGACTTCAGTGGCAGTAATAAGCCTGTGGCTTTCCAGTCTGCGATTTATTCACCCACACAGAGAGATAATATGTTTTTCCTCTATGAAAAGAAAATTGAATCTATCTCTTGGTCTAAGTGATCAGAGGTATAAGTGAAAAATAAGACTGTGGCCCATCACCTTCAATCTCTCTCTTCCCTCTGCGATAGGGCCTATTATCTTCCTTTATTTTTTCAGAGCGTGAGAAGTGTTAATGGTCACAGCGTCAGACATTCCCCCCTGAAATTTGGGGAGACCTGGATTGTGTGTGTCAGGCACAGCGTGAGAGGTGAATTGCCTCTAGGGGTCGATGTGAGGGAGGAGGGCAGGAGAGGGGTGTTGCAAGAGAGAAGAAATAATGCCTGCAGAATTTGGGTCTACAGCTGATGTTTGGAAAGACTGATGAACCCCCTCTTCATTCTTCTGTACCTCTAGAAGCTGCACCAAACTAAGTGTAGGACACATCCACTAATTAGGGCTCACATAAGACATCCACTGGGCAGCCCCTAATCCAGTGCCGTGAAGGGATAATGATGTGCCCGCCTCCCCCATCCTCTGGGCCCCCCAGGCATTTTTGGAAGCCATCAGTTCCCAAACTTCAGAGCACTGCAGAACTTCAGATACTTAGAAAGTCCTGCCAGGTCCTCAGCATGGGACAAGGGGGTCAGATCTGGGTGTTTCATAAACTTGAAAAGGAGGATTTGGTGAACCGCCACCTTAAATGCGCCCTGTGCTCCGTGGGAACTTGGCATTTCAGACCATTGCCAGGAGAGAGTCACTGTTCTGCAGGGCGCTTTGTTCAAGGCATTCTGGTCCATGTTGAGCCGTGGGATACTTGTATTCCTTTTCCCTGGAGTCTAGATGAAGCCAGCTCCTCCAGCCCTGCCCTAGCCCATGCCAGGAACTCTACATGGGACTAAACTCCTTAGGGCCCCTCCCCACCCCTGATTCTGAATTTCTAGGAGCTCAGAAAGAAGGGCAGCACGGGCATTCTCGAGAGCAATGCTGAATGAAAAATCAAGGCAGCCCCCTGGAAGTGGCAACCTCCTGCAAGGGCGGCAGGGTCACCCCCAAGTGCCTCGAAATGTTGCTGTAGCTAAGTGCATGTGACATACCAGACCCCTCTGTTTTCCAGGCCAGCTAAATGAAGACGTGACCTACGCGCAAATGTACTCCTTCCTGAGCTGCCTTCAGGTGAGCAATCACTGACTCTCCAAGGCCCAGGTGCCCATCACTGTTCCTCTTTAATCAAAGTGTTTTCCTGTTCTCAGGTCAGCCCCTGCCACGGCTGGATGTCTTCCAACAAGACGCTCCGGACTCTCACTTCAGAGGTATGACTGTCACAGGCCTTTTATACCACCTTTGATCGTTCCTTCCCTGTGTTGGCTGCGGAGTTTTCACTGGGAATGGGATGCTCTCCAAGCTGGTGAATAACAACACCAAACTGCCAGGGTGCTTGAGGAGCCCAGAAAACATGGCGTGCCCTGTCTCTTCTGCCTCTCTGTGGGTCTGTCCCTTTTACTCTGTCTCAGTCACTGTCTCTGTGTGTGCGTGTCTCTCTCATGCATGCACATGTGTGTACACACAACTTATAAGCTGGTCCTGAGCATAGTTGTTCTGGTGGAGAGAACTGAGCGAGGGTAGCTCTGTGTCTGTCCGGAGCTCTTCCGAGGTAAATAAGCACTTTCTTCTCTTCTCTGAGGGAAATCCATTGCTCAGGCAAAATGCTTTCACAGATGGTGAATAATCTCTTTGTAAAAGATTTACTGAATTTTTTTTACAAAAGTATATTTCAATTTTAAAAAAACTTGGAGAACACAAAAAAGCACAAAGAACGATAATAAAAATCACCCCAAATTCCACCAGCCAAAGTCAGTATGTGTGTATGTCTTTCCATTGACACTCTCATAGATAAATACGTTTGATTTTTGCCTATACGGTATGAGAATATACACACTCTTTTATGCCTTTCAATGTTCATAAATTGTTTCTCCACATCATCATGTTGTAACCATTTTAAAGCACACACATTCTGAACATATATGATTTATATCATCCTTTGGTGTTGGACATATAGGTTGTTCCAATTTTTCACTATGATAAATAGTATTGTGATGAAGAAGTTGTACGTCTTTGTGTATATCTCTGTTTCCATGACAAATTCCTAGAAAAATTATTGGGTCAAAATGTATGCCCGTGTTCAAAGATTTGATCCATATTGCCAAACTGTTCTCTAGTAAGGTTAAACTAATCACATTCTCACTCACCTACCCATAACAACATCTGATATCATCGTTATCTTATCTTTGCCAATCCCAAGGGTGGAAAAGTAGTATCTTATTACTTTAATTTGCACTACTTTGATTCCTAATGAACTTTAAGATTTGTCATATGTTCATTGGCCATTTGTGCATGAATAGAACTTTTTTATTTATTTCAAAGTATTAAGGAGGTGCAAATGTTTTTGGTTACATGGATGGCTGTTGTAATGTTTGAGTCACAGCTATACAGCAACAACATAAACAAATGGGATTTGATTGAACTAAAAAGCTCTGCACAGCTAAGGAAGTAATCATCAGAGCAAATAGACAATCTACAGAATGGGAGAAAATATTCACAAGCTATACATCCAACAAAGGGCTAATATCCAGAATCTACAAAGAACTCAAGCAAATCAGCAAGAAAAACAAACAACCCCATTAAAAAGTGGGCAAAAGACATAAATAGAAGCTTTTCAAAAGAAGGATAGACAAATGGCAATAAACATATGAAAAAATGAATAGAACTTAATGTGCAGAGCTGATCTCTGCTGATGGCTTGGAGAAATGAAAGTGGAGTGGGGTGGGGAAGATTGATTGATTGATTAGTTTCTTTGTTCTGCCTGAATTATCTCACTAAAGTCAAAGTCAGGGTTTCATGGAATTCTCCGTTTCCCTTGTATTCAGAGAGCAGAACAACTCTCCAGTACGCTGAAAAAAATTGCAACCAGTGAGAAATTCACAAACTTCGATCTTTTCTACGTGGATTTTGCCTTCCAAGAAAGTAAGTGTCTTGGTTTAGAGGTATTGACAGAAGACAAAGCAGCAGCTACCGTTTAGAGCCTGCCTGGGCAACAGGTCCATGAGCCAGCAGGCGGCAGATTGGGCAGGGTTACTCCTGCCCGCTCTGACAGACTGATCACTCTGGTGTGGAAAAAAGGGAAAATGTGACTCTTTCTGAGCAGGCTGGGGGCTCAGCGTTACCTCCTTACTTCACTGTCATTTTAGAATCTCTGCAGCGATGGAGCCAGTGACCAGTTGGAAAGAGATTTTGGCCAGGAACCTGCAGGCTAATAGAATCGCTAACCAGTTAGCAACTAATGGGATCGCTAGCAGGTTAGCAATGCTAGCAGGTTAGCTAATGGAATCGCTAGCAGGTTAGCAATGCCCTGCTTACCTATGGGCTACAGAAGGGTGTGACAGAAATGGGGGATAAGGCGATGCTTCTCGTAGTGGCACTGAATTACCCAGGAACCCAGTAGCGGTGCACTTTCCCAGACCCCATACAGGATGAGCCCAATCCCAATCCCTAAGGGAAGGATCAAAGGACTTGCCTGTGACAAAGTGAAAAACCCATGTCCCAGCTTTCTGAAAAGAATATTACCAAGTTTCTTTTCTAGCATTCTGTCCAAACACTGGCATCACTGCTGAGAGGTCACACAAAAACGCGTGATTACTGGAGCTACTGATTTATCCTTTCCATCTTGACTCTGAAAAATTATTATTTGTTGACTGTAATCCTTCCAGGTTCATTTTCATTGCTAAGCAATTTTTATGCAAGAGGAAAGCCCCTGTTGATTGCCAGCTGCAATGAAGCTAATGAAAAGCTTTACGGTGCAGGTGAAGAACGGACAATTTCTCATTCAGAGTTCATCATCTCTGTTCCCCCCACCAACCCCCAGCTCAGGCATCTGGGATGCAGCAGATGGCCATCATGAATTATCAAATATTGCATTAGCTGACACGTTTTGCATCACAGACTCTAGTAGTTCAATTCCGAACATCTTTTCAACAAGACCGATCTCCCTTAACCAGATTTTTTGCCTAGGTGATACACACTTCTATCATGGCAAGAGACATTTTGATAAATAACCTCTCATTAAAATGAAGAGTGAAAGATTCATTAATGAATTCCTGGTGTAAACAAATGCACCACCAAGTGATCTTTGATCATTATCAACCCTGAATATAAAGTTATTAAAAATATAATAATGTCTAACATTCTCAGGGGACGTTTTTATTTTTCAGAGTGATCTCTAGCCCTGTCATTTATTATCTCTGGGACTATAGGCAATTCTCTGAACATTTCTAAATTCCCCTTTCCAGACCTGGAAATGGGGATACCATATCTACCCAGCAAATCTTGTGATGATTATATGAAATAATGTGTCATCCTAAATGCTGTGCCTAATGCATAGCCAGCACCCAGGGAAGAGTACCATTCCCTTGTACCCTTGCTACGCAGTGTGTGGTTCTGGAAAAGCAAAATCAACACTGCCCGGGAGCTAGTTATAAATACAGAATCCCAGGCCCCACTGTAGACCTACCTAATCAGAATCTGCATTTAAATACAATCCACAGGTCCTCTCTATGCCCATTAAAGCTTAATAGATGGAGTTCTATAAGCTCCAAGACTGAGCTTCATCAGTCAATCATCAGATTTTTGTTAAGTCTTGCTATGTGCCAGGAGCTGTGTAGGTGCTGGGAATATAATTGTCAACACAACAGACGAGTCCTTAACTCTATGGAGGATACAGAGAGAAGAGCTTTACCTTCGACCCAGTACCCGCCGGCGTTCCACTGGTCAACTAACATGCTTGGAAGCAGAGCCTCATTGGCCCTTATCCTCACAGCAACAAGAAATGCAGAAAAAAAGCAAAAGGTTCCATTAAACTGAACCAAACATTCTACATCAACTTTGCAGAAACCTCCTAGGTATTTCTCCTTCCTTGGCAATTCCCATTAACAGTTCAAGGAATTTCTGATTTTGTAATTTTCTGCCATTTTTTTTAAATAAACTTGAAGAGCCTGTTTTGATGCAAGGAAGTTAGTGGGTACCCCACAAGGGAAGACGCATGGACACAGTGAGTGAGAGAGAGAGTGGAGACAGAGGAACGGTGCCCTGGGACCTGCCTACACAAACATCTGATACAGCATCCTGCACTTACCATCCAGCTGCCACCATGTCCACTTCTGAGAGAGCTGGAATTTCAATCTAGTCTTCAGGAACTGTGGTAATCTCTTAGCTTGTGCCCAAAGTTAGGCAAAGGAGATTTTTCACTTGAAATTTTAGCCTTTTCCAGAGTAGGTGGAGGGATCATGCACTCCCATATCTATCTCCCTGGGTAACCTCCTGTGCCTGGGCTGCTTGGCCTTCCAGAAACCAACCCCATGTGGGTGCAATGTGCTACTGTAACAGAGCCCAGGAGTTCCAACTGTGCTCCTATTCCAACTCAGATAGCTGTGTAACCTCAAGCAAATGAAATAACCTCTCAGCCTTTGTTTCCTTGTAGGTAGGGTAGAAATAACTAGACCATGGGGTTTATGGAAGGATTAAGTGAAACAAAGCTCGTAAAGTAGTAAGGAGTCAATAACTCTTAGCGGGCATCCCCACGCTGGGAATCATCAACGTGTATGAAGTGGCTCCTTCACTGCTGATGTCCAACCCATCTCCCAGCCCCAGTCCCTCAGGCCTGTGGAGTCCTTTGAGTTCCTTCCAAGGTGATATGCTAAAAATGCAGCTCATCAGCAAGGAGAAAAGTGATCTCCTTCTATCAGAAATAAAAACCCCATACAGTCACTTAAATTTGCAGCCCTAACAGTCACTTGAAAATCTCTCATTTCAGCACTGTATTGGAGCTGACCATTGCATCACAAATATCCTCATTTTTCACGTTACTGAAATTCACAACTTCACATCCTGTGGCAGAGCAAATTGCATTTGAGGATCCCTGTCACTTGAGGGTATGCACGAGACCTATCTGTCCTCCACTCTGACAGCTCCAATCTGGCACTGAACAATGACTGCTCACCTCCAAAGCCTCTTCTTGTCTCTTGCTGATTCATTCTCCAACTGGTTATGAACTAAACAGAGGCAGAGATTTTTCCTCCCTTCAGGAAATGCCAACTTGAACAGGTGATGTTCTTTCTCTTTGTCTGTGCCACACCTCTCCAACAGAGGAAAGAAAATGCCACTTGGCTGACAAAGCCATTTCTACTCTGACAGTTTAAATATACCTCCAGCTGCCCTCAGCTTCCAAGACAGCTCAATTGGAGTAAATTTCACTCTTAGC